CACCTAACTCCACACCCCTGCCAGCTTTTACCTGGATGCTGAGGATCCAAATTCAGGTCCTCATGGCTGTACAGCAAGCACTTTACCTGTAAAGTCATTTCCTCAGCTCTTCAGCAATGTTTTTCCTCCAGTGCTGAGGACTGAACCCAGGGCCTCTTCCATGCTAGACAATCAGTCTTACTTACCATTTATTTACATCCCCAGCAAGGGAAGCATTTCCTACTAGCAGTTCACAAAATAATTTTGTCATAATTAGAAGCTAGATGGGAAGGTTCTTTATTGTTGTGAAAATATTTCATTTCTAGTCTGCAAAGAAAGGACACTCTCTATATTTTACTGATGCTGACAAAACTTCGTTTTCCTAGAATAAGACCTAAAAGTCAAGACTTTCCCTCAGAGAGTCAACAGTGAAGTAACATAAAAATAAAAACCTTTACTTTACATCTACTTTACATTGCACAGTGCTAGTCTTACTGGTTTACCTCAAACCTTGTCTCCTTCAGAGTCATCCCTGATTCAAGCATCAGAGCCCTCAGAGCATTTATTATTGATAATATTCATTTGATACTTGGTGTGTGTGTTTGCTATTCTATACACGCCCTACCTCCCAACTAAAATATATGCCCTTTAAAGAGCAGCAACTATTAAGTGTGAGATAAATCCTTACTTAAAGTATTTAAAATATTCTTGGAGAGAAATTAGTTGGATAATAGTGCTCTATCTATGGCAGAGAAACACTTGGACATGAAAACTTTCTAGAGAGCTAACCACTCCCTGCTCCCGCTGCCACACACACACACACACACAGAGAGAGAGAGAGAGAGAGAGAGAGAGCTTCACACAATTCAGGCTGACCCCAAACTCTTAATTCTCCTGCCTCTACTTCCTAAGTGCTGGGATGACATACACGAACCTCCAATGTTTATGTGATACTGGGAACCAACCAAGGGCCAGCATCCCAACTAAGCTATATTCCTAGCCCCAGTCTTAATATTTTAAATTCACTGAAACTTTAAAATCAGTCTAAATTATCTTTATGTACTTCCCTGACTTGTTAATCAAGCATCATAAGCATGCCTTATGCATCTCCTGATACAATGGGGAACTTAATTTTGTCTTGTTGAGAACAGTCTACCATTAAGCCTATCAGTTGTGGACCTTGACAGAAATACAACTGTGGTGTGCGGTACCTCTGCTGTGATCCTGAGTAAGGCCTCATACCAATCCCGGAGGATTGTTTACCCCTCTAGTTAATTTTTAGCAGTAAATACTCTCCACACTCCAGAATAAAAATAAAAATAAAGCTGTGTAGTACTGGTAAATTTTTAGCAACCCTACTATACAAAGTTACTGTTTTTTCCAGATTAAAGCTCTCTGGCTAGTTTTCCTACTGTGAAACTTTTTCTTTGTAACCACTCTGTGCTGACCTCATCCCCTCCTCTAATCTCTAGAAGGGACACAGGAGTAGCTAAAAGTTGACTACTGAAACCAAGCTGTCTGGATTCAAATTCCAATTTGTCAGTTAAGAGTTGAACTCGATAATAACAGGTTAATTGATCTAACTAACCCTCAATTTCCTCATCTGCTTCATGAGAATATGCATATATCTCACCCCATGGGTGGTCAAGAATTAAATGAGTTAGCACTGGCAGAGTGCTTAGAACACAGCCTGCATCGAGTATTAAATAGATGGATAAAACACTATCCATTTCAAGTCCATTACTCTCATCCCTCTCCCTTGTGTAGAAGTGCTTGGGCATTTCTCACCACTTATGGATTGTTGTTTTCCTGCTGATAGGGATGTGGGGGGAGTTCTCCAGGGTGGAAGGAAGTGTAGACACTGAAAAGGAGCAACAGCACTCTTCCCATTGATCCATACGTCCATCACTCAGGAAGAGGGAAAGCCGCAGAGTGTAGTAACCACTGCTCAGCTAATCACAGGATGCAGGGAGGAAAATGGGGATAATCCAGGGGACATATATAAAATTACAGCTTTCAAATATTTTCTGGACTGGGCTGGAACAGAGGCAACATTTAAAAGTCTATGGAATACTGACAACCTCCCCTTCACTAAAAGTGTTTATGTAAGGCATCGGTGGCCAGGTGTTGTTGTAAGAAATTATTTTTTAATTTAGAGTCAGATAATTTAAGACTCTATCTCTAAAATCTTGGCAATCCTGGCATGAGTCACCAAGATGTTACAGCTTAGTATGAGTCACACCCATCGCCAACGGGCAGCCAAAGACAAAATTCTTCACTTGGTGTTTGGCATAGTACCCACAACTGTAGGTGAGGAATTCTAGCCCTCAGGTTATGTATATATACCTCAGCTCGGAGAAACAAACCTTTCTTTCTTTTTTTTTTAATTTTTATTAAGCACATCACTTAGCTGATTCTAGACTCCTTTTATAACCCACAAACACAATAATGCACTAATCCCAACTGAGAACTGGCAAAAAGGTGTGCAACAGGATTAAGCACCAAGCACTCCTTCCCCCGTCACTCTGCCTAGTCCAGGCAGACGGAGGTAGGCAGGCAAGTGACACGGAGGGACAGGGCAGGTGGCCAGAGTGGGTGGGAGTTGGGCCAGCACACACACGGTCAAGGGAACGGGACAAAGGCCTTGGAGAATATGCCGGAGTGGGAGCAAACTGTAGTGCCTTAGTCTGCATCCAGCGCCCTGGTCTGGCGTGGGATGTGGACAGCGGCGGTGGGGGGGGGGGGGG